CCACGGAGTCATCAAACCATCCCGAGACCTGCCACCCCACCCCACCCCACTGAACAGTCTGCAGTGTTAACCTGTTTTCCTGATACTTGCAGCTGAAAGCAGCCTAATGCCCACCGAGGACAAAACACTGACATAAACTAAGGAAAATTTAATCCTTATAAGGCCTGAAGGTGAAACAGTCTCAAGAAGCCCACCACCGTACCCTTCTGGAGGGGACGAGGACGGGGTTCTGAGGAGATAGCTGTCTGTGTTAGGCGATCGCTGATGGCAAGAAACAAACTCCAACTTCAAGGAACTTAGTATGAAATGAGCTCCAGCCTGACCGGAGTGGCTCAGTGGCTCAGCATCAACCTATGAACCAGGAGGTCACAGCTCCATTCCTCATCAGGGCACATGCCCGGTTTGCAGGCTCGATCCCCAGAGTGGGGCGTGGAGGAGGCAGCTGATCAGTGATTCTCTCTCATCACTGATGTTCCAATCTCTCTCTCCCTCTCCCTTCCCTTCCTCTCTGAAATCAATAAAAATATTTGTTTTTGTTTTTAAAAAAGAAATGAGCTGCAGGATCAGTTGAGTAGGGTGCTCAACGATGTGGTCAGGAACCCAGGCTCCTCCCCTCTCTGCTCAGCCAGTCTTCAAATGGGCTTCGTTGTCCGGCTGCTGGAAAGACAGGAGTGTGCTTCCAGGTGGCACACTCAGCTGTGACACGGCCTGTGGGGTCCCGTGTGAGCCCCACCCCCCATTATCCCCACTTCTCACCCCGATTCTCTCCCTCTTGTCTTCCCCCTCCAGCTGCACTTGCTTGCTCTTCTTCAAACGTGCTGGGTGGACTCCTGCCCCAGGGCCTCTGACCCTGCTGTACCTTCTGCCCACAGTGCTCTTTGTACACGTGCAGCTGGCTGCCCAGCTCCTTCAGGTCCTTGCTCAGATGGCATTTCCCAGCGAGGCCTGCCTTGGCCGCATTACTTACAATCATAACCACCTCCCAACCCCCCATCCCCTTTTGGGCTTGAATTTTCTCCACCGCACTTAACTGCATCCAACACAGGGCACAGTCCCTGCCTGTTAGGGTCTGGGCGCCGCCTGCCTAGCAGGTGTGCTCCAGGAGCACAGAGATGCTTTTCTGATTGCCCCTCTCCCCCCCCCCCCCCCCCGCCCCCGGCCCCCCGAGGGGGGGGGGGCCCTC